CCCCCCCCCCCCGCCCCATCTTCCTCGGCACCGCAGTTCCCCCAGAGGTAACGGGACGGCGGCGGAGCTCCGTCCTGCGCTGCTCATCTCCGTCCTGTTCCCTTTGTCGCCGGCAGCATCAGGTGTCACGGGGGTTGTCTCAACATCTGGAGGGGCCCGCAGTGCCGTGGGGCTGCCCAGCTCTCCCCCAAATTTCAGAAGCATCTGCTGGGGATTTAACCCCGTGGCCCCAGGGCTCTGATATCCAACTGAAACAATAAGAGATCCGGGAGGGGGGGGATCTAAGCTGCCTGATGACAAATGTTTCATTCGCCCCAAGCGCACTTGGCTTATTTTAACCTCGTCTACACAGGAGGATGCCTGGGGGCCAAGTAAAAATAGATACTTGGCTAAAAGAAGAGAGGTCCCAGCGTGGGGCATGGGGCAGCACGTGTGTGTGGCGGGGGAAGCTGGGGGTCTGTGGCCACCCACAGCAGTGCTGGGGCAATCCACACCCCAACTGGGGCTGGGAGCCTTTGGGTCAGCGCCGCAGACACCACACACTCCTTCAGGGCACAGCCCTTTGTCCCCCTGATTCCTGCGTCTCCCCTCCAGGTCTGCTGGAAATCTCCCCGGTGGAAAGAGGAGTGGTGAGCATATTCGGTGTTAGAAGTGGACTCTTCGTGGCCATGAATAGCAAAGGCAAACTCTATGGATCTGTAAGTAGCCACCAATTGTGTGCCTGGGGAGGGTAGTCAGCTGGGGCAAGAGGTGTACGTGGTGCTAGAAGCTGCCCAAGCCCCATCCTTGCCCCTCCTGGGTCAGGCAACCCCAAGCAGCCCTTGCTGTCCTGCCAACAGAAAAAGTGCTGCCCACAGATGCCGCTCACTGAGCTTTTGAAGTAAAACCCATCCTTTTGCATTACACTTCCTTGCTTACCCCATAAAAACTACAGTCGCCCAACCATGGCTACCCATCTTGCCTACCACAGAGACCAACAGAGTAGTCATTTGTGTGGCCAGAGCTCAAGCTAGCCTCAGTCCGTATCTTTCTTGTATTTCAGTATAAACAGCCTTAAGCGGGTATGGCAATCACTCACTCCATCTCTCAAAGGGCACTTGAACTTGTGATCAGCCATGGCCCCGCAAATGACCCTTTATGATGTGATGAATCAGTGCCTGTCACATACCTATTGATCACTCTTTGTTAATGCTCTTGATGGGAGAGTCTGTTCCCATGACAGTTCAAGCATCCTCAGGGTTTGAACTTCTATTTGTAAGGTGGCAGATCTATTAGGATATTTTTTTTACATTGAATCTTTGAAAAAGATAGAGGCATCTTATAAAATGTACTTGAGGTGGACAATAACAGTGCATGTCTTTGTCCACGTTGAGCTGTCCTCCTGCTTTTGAGTTCACCTCTGTGTATGTTACTGTGATCAGCATCATTTCAAACCCACATTCCTGGATCTCCTTCCTTACCCGTGCCTTTTCTATTCCATGTTTTCAAGTATGCTTTGAAGAAACTTGGCTGAGCTGAGGAAGAGCCAAACTATTCCAAAGTTAGCTAGGGCATTTCCACAGGAAGACATGAAGCATGCAGGGCTGGGGCATCAGTTCTGTTACAGAGGATTTTGACTTATACAGAAGCCAGGCAGAATCAGTCACCAAATTGCAAATTTGCATAATTTCTTAGGAAGAGTGCTGCTTTGGTGTCCTGGATAAGGTAATTCCCAGCTTGGCAGGCTGAGAGCTCTCTTACAAACCCCTAGGCTTTTGCCCGATAGTAAGGGACGAGTTCATTTGTTACTCTGCAGATAACACACTTGTAACACCTGTCCCTCTTTGTACTTACTTGCAAATGAAACCTCTTTGCCTTTTGTCAGCTCTGCTTTCCTGATCCGTTAACGTAAGTTATCCAAATCCTCCCTTCAATTTTAAAACTAAAGAAGCAGAAAATACTGTCTATGCTGAGTGTCTTTAAAATGCCTCTTCTTAAGCAACATGAGAAATCACTAGCACTCAGATTTTTCTCAAGCATCTCAGGCAATGTATTGCTGGTAGGACAACCACTGAGCAATTGGATGAGCAGGGCAACAGAATTGGGCTTGGGCCTTTCCCCACTGCAGCTCTCTTAAAATGGTGTCCTTCCCACCTTTGGGGGTACATGCCCGGCCTGGACACAGCATCCTTAATGATCCTCTGACTCCTGAGTCCTGTTTGAAGCTATGTTTGGGCGACCACTTCAAAAGATTACTAGGTGGGAGGGAGTCAGCTGCACATTTCCCCACAGCACACCTTCTACACCTGGTAGCAAGAATATTTCCACACCTGATGTTTAAAATTCCTTCCCTCTCATTCTTTCCTTTTCATTTCAGACCCATTTCAATGACGAGTGCAAATTCAAAGAGATTCTCCTGCCAAACAACTACAATGCTTATGAATCCAGGATTTATCCCGGGATGTACATAGCCCTGAGCAAAAATGGAAGAACAAAGAAAGGCAATAAAGTATCTCCCACAATGACAGTGACACATTTTCTTCCTAGAATCTGAGACATCACCCTTCAGACCTACCTCAGCACAGGGGAAGACGCAGAACATGTTTGGGGAAAAGAAACATGGTGCACTTTTACTGGAGAGTTTTATGCAAGAGTAGGTGTAAGATATTTAAGTTAATTATTTAAATCTGTATATATTGCCACAAAATTTATTTATAGTTCCGATTTTTTTTTTTTTAATTTCTGAAAACAAAACAAACCTCCAACCCAAGGTATTTCATTTCATGGTGCAACAGTAGAAGATTTCTGCTCTGTGGTTTATTTAATTCGTTTCTAAGTTATCACAGGTGTGCTGCTACTCCATGTCCTAAACCAAGTGAAATTCAATTCCTCTATTACAATGTTTTGCACTGTTTGTGTGTTGTGTGGTGTCTATAGTTGTACACATATTTGTTTGTTTGTTTGTTATGGTGGCTTTTTTCTCCTCTGCGTGTTTTCCAAACCCCCTGTGACTCCCAAAGAAGCTCTTGGCCTCCGAGAAGGAGCGGTGGCGGAGGTGCCTGGGTGGGATGCCAGCGCGGAGCCACACACAATGCTTGACCTCCTTTGTGCGGCGCTGCTATTTAATTGGAACAGTATCGGTTTACCTCGGTGCAGAAAGCGCGGTGCTGAAGAGCTACCCCACAAATCTGTTTTTAGATCTGCCAGTGCTGAACTTTGAACTTTGCTGCAGTCCGTCTTCTTAGAGCTGCCAGGCACTAGAGAGGCTTAAACACCTATATAAACTCAGCAGGATTGGTTGTTTTTTGGTTTTTTTTTTTTCTATTTAGATAAACAGGAGCATACGATCTTTTTTGGCCCTTAATGGAAGTTTATATTTGATACAATTGCTTGGCATTAGGCTAAAAAAAAAAAGTGTCTGTCCCTCCCCCAATGAGCGCACTGTGAAATGCTACCGTGAACCAATTATATTTTATTCAAATCAATTTCCCTTTCACATTTGGAGACTACATCCATTTTTCAAAGTTTGTGAATCTCTATAATACTCGTAAGTTTTTAAAAGGCAAAAGCATTTGCTGGTTTGTAGAAAACCCAATCTCCACAGAGAGAATTTAGATTGATCACAAGGAATTGGGATTGTTTTGTACTATTTATTATTTTTGGTGCAGTATTTGGAAGGTGAAATATGCTGCTTTTTTCTGTCTCATTCCCTGACAAAGCCAATTAATTTCTACCTCACTAACTCTCAAAGCCAGTTTCCTAACAAGATCTGCATGGAAGGAAGGTACACTCTTTTCTGCTTGGTCTTACAGTTCTGGAGGAGGGCCTGGGGGAACAATCGTAATCCCAAATCTCTCTTTTTTTCCATATGTAGCCAAAAGTATTCAGGATAGAGTTGGTTGCATCCTATTTGAGCCTTGTCACGTTTGAGCTATCTTTACCCAGTGGTTTACTTTTAGTAAGGATAATCATGGTGAAAATATTTGCAGACAGCTGTCAGGCTGCAGTACTATATCGTCATCAAGTAACTCTATATTTTTCTTTATATATTTTGCAAGTGTAACTCATGTCTCTAATGTGATGAAGGAAAAGACAGTTTTGATTATGGGGGAATCACTAACAGGATCCATTTGTCCTTTTCTTTTCTTTTCTTTTCTTTTCTTTTCTTTTCTTTTCTTTTCTTTTCTTTTCTTTTCTTTTCTTTTCTTTTCTTTTCTTTTCTTTTCTTTTCTTTTCTTTTCTTTTCTTTTCTTTTCTTTTCTTTTCTTTTCTTTTCTTTTCTTTTCTTTTCTTTTCTTTTCTTTTCTTTTCTTTTCTTTTCTTTTCTTTTCTTTTCTTTTCTTTTCTTTTCTTTTCTTTTCTTTTCTTTTCTTTTCTTTTCTTTTCTTTTCTTTTCTTTTCTTTTCTTTTCTTTTCTTTTCTTTTCTTTTCTTTTCTTTTCTTTTCTTTTCTTTTCTTTTCTTTTCTTTTCTTTTCTTTTCTTTTCTTTTCTTTTCTTTTCTTTTCTTTTCTTTTCTTTTCTTTTCTTTTCTTTTCTTTTCTTTTCTTTTCTTTTCTTTTCTTTTCTTTTCTTTTCTTTTCTTTTCTTTTCTTTTCTTTTCTTTTCTTTTCTTTTCTTTTCTTTTCTTTTCTTTTCTTTTCTTTTCTTTTCTTTTCTTTTCTTTTCTTTTCTTTTCTTTTCTTTTCTTTTCTTTTCTTTTCTTTTCTTTTCTTTTCTTTTCTTTTCTTTTCTTTTCTTTTCTTTTCTTTTCTTTTCTTTTCTTTTCTTTTCTTTTCTTTTCTTTTCTTTTCTTTTCTTTTCTTTTCTTTTCTTTTCTTTTCTTTTCTTTTCTTTTCTTTTCTTTTCTTTTCTTTTCTTTTCTTTTCTTTTCTTTTCTTTTCTTTTCTTTTCTTTTCTTTTCTTTTCTTTTCTTTTCTTTTCTTTTCTTTTCTTTTCTTTTCTTTTCTTTTCTTTTCTTTTCTTTTCTTTTCTTTTCTTTTCTTTTCTTTTCTTTTCTTTTCTTTTCTTTTCTTTTCTTTTCTTTTCTTTTCTTTTCTTTTCTTTTCTTTTCTTTTCTTTTCTTTTCTTTTCTTTTCTTTTCTTTTCTTTTCTTTTCTTTTCTTTTCTTTTCTTTTCTTTTCTTTTCTTTTCTTTTCTTTTCTTTTCTTTTCTTTTCTTTTCTTTTCTTTTCTTTTCTTTTCTTTTCTTTTCTTT